GCTCATTGATGGGATTTGTGGTTTCACTACAGCTGGAGGGCCAGCGTTTGCCTACCTTTTGGTATGGAGACTGTTCCCATCAACATGCTGCCTTGGTGTGCATTGCAATAAAATGCTGCAGGCATCATTTTATTGCAGCGTGTTGCACTGCACTGCAATTCATTGCAATGCCCTACAGTGCATATAATTTACATAGATGAAAAAACCCGAATGCGTTATAGCAATGCTTTGCAACACACCACACACACACGTTATGTGTTGCGCATTGCCATGCTGCCTGGTGTGAACCAGCCCTCTCTGCTGTGTTAGGACATTCATTTTGAATGCTGCTCACCTTACCTTTTGGAAAATCAGCTGTGACCCTTTCTGTTGAGTTGCCTGCAACTATAAGAGTGCATGGGGCGACATTGAAAATGAATGACACTATGGTTGGCACGTAACAATGCATTATCATAAAACAGGTGTTTATTATGAGCCATCACTGTGTCTAAGGCCTCATGCACACGGCGATCTGGAGATTCATGCAGCAGGAAATCCAGGTGTGTCTGCACAATTGCAGCTGCTGTGCCCATTGAAGTTAACGACTGGGTAATAGCGGCCACATTTGAAAGAAGCAGGCCGCAGGTAATTGTACATGGTATGATTACCTGCAGAATGGGAGAGATGTTTGTCCCTTGACTTAGAGCACTTGCGTTCCAGGACAAAAACATCTCTCCCAATCAGGGTTAATCGAATCGTACCATGTACAATTACATGTGGACTGCTGCTTACAGATGCGGCCGCTATCGCCCTGTCATTAACTAACTTGAATGGGCACAGGGGCTGCATCTTATCGGTCACACCTGGAATTCATGCCGTAAGAATCAACAGGTTCTTGCGGCAAGAATTTCCAGATCGCCCTGTGCATGAGGCCTAAATGGAAATGTAGCCGTAGGTCTTTAGTGCTATATTGAAGCCTAATAAAAACATACGCAGATTGAATGAGAGGAATCGGCTGGCTGCATTCAATTGAACGCTGCTCTATGTTTTATCTAAGATTAAGAAAAGAAAATACTTTATTCCTTTTACAAAAGGCCTGCTGTATTGTGGCACTCCCATATATAATATGCGTCAGGTTTAACAAGTTGTTTTGTGTGTTGTACGTCACTTTGTACACTTATTTTGCTTGGACACTTGAGGCCTCTAGGCTTGTGTAAGATCGCCTTATTGTTGGAGGGTTTTTTTTTTTAAATATGCATCCACATTGTTTTCAAACTTCTCCGGAACAGTAACTAAAAGTACAAAAGTTCAGAGTCCCCTGTTACTGCAACATGTGCTGCTTCCAGTAAAACATTGCAAAAACAACAAAAATCCCTTAAAGAGAACTGACTGTGTGATAAAAAACCAAACCCTTTATGGACATTCAAATAATGCACTGGCATGGGGTTACATCAAGTCCTCATTTAAAAGGATTATGACAAAATAATATTTTAAGTATAGTTTTCTATTATCTGAATGTGGTCAATATATGTGATCATCATATTCAGTATAATTCCTTTTCTTTCAGAGAATTCCAATACTTCGGACTTTATTGAAATTCACAGCAAATCCAGTATAACAGTGAATAAAAGTGTATAAAGCAGCAAATACCAGCACCGCAAACCCCCAAACAGCTTGTTTTCACTGTTATACTGGATATGCTGGGAATTTCAATAAGGTCTGAAGTATTGTAATCCTCTGGATAGTGCGGTCTGTTTGTATACTGCTACATTCCAAGGTGGAGAGCACCTGGGGATTCCTGATGGCGGCTAAGGAATTGGAGCGGTGAGATTTCCTTTTGGCTCTAAAATTCCTTTTCTTGATTTGGTTTATCTTTAAATTGTTCTCTATGTGAACAGCTTGTCCAGCCAAAGTGACAAGGGTTGAGATTAACAATAACACTGTCAGGTGTACTTGGGGAGATAGGACCAGCGAAGAAGAGATCATGCAGTGGGACAGTTCAGGTTTTTGGGTCCCATAACCCAGCAGATAAAGGACAGGGGACACCATAAACTATTGAACTGATTTCTCAGGAACGGTTGTCATTTTGAGAACCTGAAACTAAAATAAGAATATGAGACCGTTTCAGAAGCAAAGAACGACTGTAGATCGTGAGACTAGTCTCGTGTCAACCTTCATAGCCAGTCGGGATAGAATGTGACGTCTAGCTCAGGTTTTGTTGTCAAGAACCTCTCGCCCTTAGTTGTCAAAACCATCCACCTATTAATACATTGTTTTCTTGGTGACCAGGCGGTGTTTGTTTGTATTGTGGTATCTGTTATTTGCGGGGCACGTTTTTCTGGTGGTACATCATTTGTCAGGTAGTTAATACGCCATGAACTGTAAACTGCAAGTGAAAGTAGACTGTGGTAAAACTGTTGAGAAAAAAACCCCAGACTTCCAGTAGAGATTATATCGAGCATGAAAGGTGCTTATGCAAGAGGCAGATGTGTAGTTACAGTAACATGGGTGCCATTTTTTATTTCTTTGAAATGACGAGTTTTTATAGCAATGTGAAGCAATTACAAACTGCACAGATTTACACTTTTGAAATCCTGCATCTTAAAAAAAAAAAATCTAGGCACAATAAAAAATATGGCAGACCTAAACCCTCCCCGTTGATGGAGATCATGCTACCCACCACTGTGGATGAGTAGGGGCAGCCTAAGGGAAAATGGTCATTTTTAGTATTACGATAGGGTTAGGTCAGCTGACCTCTAAATACATTATTAAAGCACACATATGTAAACTCTCTACCATCCAGAATATTTTAATTTCTGTTTATCCAGTCTCATCATTCACACAATGGCATCACTGCACATCCAGGCAGGTGACAACATTGTTTCCTTTTTCAGCTTTGCAGAACTCAACCATGACCTATACTGGTGCTGGAGTGCATGTATGTCTGTGAGACTGTGCTAGTGGCTCTGGTAGACTGTAATCTTCACCATGCTGTAGGAACTGATGTCATGGTATAAAATCCCCTGAAATGTTATGTCATTTGGTACACTACATGGCTAATAGTTTGTGGAATCCCGACCATCACAACTATCTGTATGGTCCAAACTATTTCGACACCTGTAATGTCTTCCCTATATTGTACAGCGCTGCACAAACTGTTGGCGCTATATAAATCCTGTATAATAATAATAATATAGCATACAAAGACAATTTGGACAATCTTCTTCCATCCTCGTACCAACAGTTTGGGAAAGGCCTCTTTCAGGTCCAGTGTAACTGTGCTCAAAGCTGGGTTCATAATGACATGGCTAGGTATAAAGTCAAGAGACCTGCCCCCAACCCAACTGAACACCTTTTGGTTTGGGACACAGATTGCTAGCTAGGTCTTCGCTTCCAACATCAGTACCTGACCTCACAAATTCTCTTTTGGCTAAATGGACACAAATTCCCACAGACACAGTCCAAACTCTTTTGGAAAGCCTTTGTAGAAGAGTAGAGGCTGTTCTAGCCAAAGGTGGTAAATGCCATTGTAAGGTCCATGGTTTTGGAATGGAATCTCCCAACTGGCTTATCTGGATGTGATAGTCGGGTATCCATAAATGTGGACCATAGTGTATCATTCTTTGTAATTGCATGCGGTTAAAGTAAGATCAATGAATTTATTCGTTCAACAAAATCAAAATAAAATGTCATATTGACAGCTGGAATTTCTGTGGAATCTGCCGAGTGTCTTTATTAACAGCTCTGAAGTTTCTCAGGAAAACTGGTTAGTTTGCTGTTGTGTTTGGCTTACTTAATGCACTGCCTACACTTGAGGTTCTAGAAGAAATTTGTTTTTCCATTTTCCATATACTTTACACTCATTTCCCTCCTGTTACTGCAAATGGCACCTACGTGTCTCCGTTTAGTTTCCTGTGTTTATTACAGAAACCAGTTTCTCTCTCTGATCAAAGGAGACATGGCGAGCACTTTTACTTTACACCGATCACCTCACTGTTTCCAGACTCATCAGACTTTGAGGCAGCTGTCATTTGTAAGGACCATATGGAGCTCCTGGGATTTGTACATCTCTGTTTTAATGTATGATTTTTCTTTTTATAAATATATATAAGTGATGTACTGATACCATTTTTGCAAGTACTGATACTTGTCCAAGTACTCACAGATACAAGTACTGATGCATGTCTCTCTCTCTCTCTCTCTCTCTCTCTCTCTCTCTCTCTCTCTCTCTCTCTCATATTTATATATATATATATTTGTAACTTTAAAATCCTATTAGCGTATCCCGTTTTCGTGTATGCCTCCACATCCATAGTGGTTGGTGTTGGATCCAGCACTGCATTGGGTTCTTCTTTAATGAAAACAGTCTATGGTGGGAGATGTCATTTCCGTGGGTTAGGCAACTACAAATAACAGGAGCTGGGCTGCTAGGAGGCACCCCAAGTCGAGATCCACAGGGGGGGCGGGCTACATAAATTCCTACTGTATATAAGGTCGAACACCTATTCATCATATCATCCATATGCTGTCATCTTTTGTGGTATTTAGCTGTGATGGTAATAACTTCCTGGTTGTCAACAGTTACTGATATGTGACCGTTCCATGGAACTATGTACTTGATTAATTGGAATGATACTAATCATTTACCTTTTACTCAAGTGCAGTGATCTTTTTAGATGACTTGAACAGGAACAGTCTCTATTGACATGGGTTGTTTGTTTAACTTGGGAGAAAAAAAAAAAAAATCCTTTGGACTCTGTTCTCGTGACATCTCTGTGCAAGACCAGGAAGTGTAATGTAGAAGTTTTTCTTCCTTTAAACTATTGGCTGCCACCCATTAAGTCAGTTTTCATTTAATTTATTTTCTGATTTTTTTGTTTCAAATGAAAGACTTTTCTTTTTATATTTGTACCTCTCTAACTTTTTGTTTTTGTTTTTTTCCTTTGCAGAATAACGTGCACTGGATCCCTTCACCGTACCATCTCACCCAACAGAAACCAGGAAATAAGATACATTGGATAAAGTGACAGTCTGGTGTTATTGTACCCGGGGCTGCTGGTACAGTTGGAACTATGATTTGTGCTTTGCACACATGTTAAAAGATTCATTTGCGGCGTGGTAGAGATGAGTTTGCATCGACAAATGGGTTCGGATCGGGATCTGCAGTCGTCGACTTCCTCAGTTAGCCTTCCTCCTGTTAAAAAGGCACCAAAGAAGAGAAGGATGCCTTGGGGCTCCATCTTTCGCAAGAAGAAAGACACCAAACGCAAGTCGAGGGATTCAACTGGTGGTGTTGATGGGATTGCTAGTATTGAAAGTATTCACTCAGAGATGTGCACTGATAAAAATTCCATGTTCTCCGCTTCGGGGAACTCCTCGGACAATGGCACAGCCTGTGCTAGTAAACCAAGTGGAGACTACATGGAGTGCCCCCTGTGCCTTTTACGGCACTCTAAGGACCGTTTCCCAGAAATCATGACCTGTCATCACAGGTCATGTGCGGACTGCTTGCGTCAGTACTTGCGGATAGAAATCTCAGAGAGTAGGGTCAATATTAGCTGCCCGGAGTGCTCTGAACGCTTTAACCCTTTTGACATCCGTTTAATACTGAACGATGATGTATTGATGGAGAAATACGAGGAGTTCATGCTCAGAAGGTGGCTTGTTGCTGATCCAGACTGTAGATGGTGTCCAGCTCCGGACTGTGGGTAAGAGAGCCTGAAATATATCTGTTCATCCCATCCTTATTTATCACAGGGCAGCTCCAGCAACTGAACTGATACTGCTATTCAGCAAACACATCAGCTGTGCTAAAGTCAGAGTATCTGCTCAGTTTACCATAATCCTGAGTTCTGTGTGATCCACTGAAACCTCAGAGCTTCCCACGTGTTTGTTGGTGGGCCTGCTGAATCTGTGCTATATAAATGTTCTCTTTTTTTGCTGCTTGCCTACAAGGCAGCTTTGAATCTGCTGGCTGTGAGAAGCTGACACATTGATGCATCACGTTTTCTTCATGTGGGAGACAGCAAGGGCTCTGCATTGGTTGTGTGTGAGAATATCTTTCCTACATTGAACATACATACATACATACATACATACATACATACATACATACATACATACATACATATACACACGCTTTATCATATTAAATTATTGCCTCTGCATTTGATTATGACTGGTTTTAGTAATAACTTAAGTAATAACTAGAACCTTTATTGGAGAAACCATAAAGTTTCTTTATGCGACCCTCCTTTTCAACTGGCATAAAATTGTATTATTATCATAGTTCTAAAATATCCAGACCCTAACCCCTTACATCAGATGTCAAGAGCTCCCTCCCCATGCTATCGAAAGTCAAGTCAAGAGTCCCCCACCCTCCCTTACATCACAGTGCACCCCAACCTTGTGCTGCTGCCAGGAAGAAGCAGGGGACGCAGCTGGGAATCAGAAAGTGCCGGGTCTGCAGGAGGGCTGGAGTCAGCTGCTGGAGTCTGCTAAATGCCGAGACCACGGGAGGCGGAGATAAGGGGGTGCTGTGGCTGCAGAGAGGGGCGCAGGATCTGTAAGAGGAGCTCTGTCCTCCCCTCTGCTGCCAACTGCTGAGACAAGGTAGGGGCGGAGACGAGGGGAGTGCTGCATCTGAAGGAAAGATGCGGGGGCCACATGAAATGGCCTGGTGGGCCGGATTCAGCCTTGTGTTTGACACTACATTTTGTGTATGCGTCTTACATATTGCCGGCGCCCAATTTGTTGCCCGTATTTGACTATAATATACCAGCAAAAAGTGTTCATGTGTACAAGGTTAGGGACTGTATTCAATAGATTCCAATCACAGAATGCAGGTCGAGGTACTTAAAGTGCTGCAAACAAGGCATTTGGGCATTTCCACAACACACTGCAATAAATTCAATGCATTTGGTGTGAACAGGTCCACTATTTTTGTCATGGCATGCTGACACATCCGGCTTGTACTAACCATAAAGAGACACTGTCACCTGTCCGTTCAAGGGCAAATTACAGTGCCTACTGATAGCTATTCTCCCCCCCCCTTCCCAGCAATGTATACTTACCCATTTACGCATAGATACCCAGAATCCACTGTTCTTTGCATCAGTAGACCAAGGGCTTCGACAGAGCGCGGAGGCAGCAAGAGTGTGGATGGGTAGGTATACCTTGCGGGGGTGGGCTATTAGCAGGCACTGTCCCATTGCCCTAAATAGGCAAAATGACAGTTTCTCTTATATATTTGTGTAGATGAAAAAAATAAAATGCAAAAAAGTTTAACAATGATAATTTGACACCTTAAATGGGGCACTTGACACCTTCCCAGAGCCCTTCCAGACTGCCATGTCAGAAATACTGTAATGAGTCAAATGACCCAGGACACCCTTCTCCATTCGCCCGGCACCGCCGTGTATCTGTCATGCTATCCTATACATTTCTATTGCTTTCCACAGAAGGAGAGTTTTGATATTGCTGGCCCGATGTACCAGGAAAACACGGGCTGTGCCTGAACTTGGCCCAAATGACCATGTTTTGGGGCTTGTATGTTTACCACATTCTTCCCGTTACTGACTGGCTCTGTGTTCCTCTTGGGTAGATGGCAAAGAAGCTTGGCTATTGGAGCTGCTATCAGTACTCTCCACAAGTTGGCCAGACAACCAGTATATGATGATGTTACAGCCGAGTTAGTTGTAGCACCGATGAGTAATGGATGTTGCAGACGTTGGGAATGGACTAACTCTATACAGCGCTGTGTGTGTCCTGCTTTTCTGCCTCATCTTACATTGCCATGAACAACAATGAATAGATATTGGCAAGCTTTTTCCCACCATCCTGACAAGCTATTACAGTTTTTATTTCCTGCCGACCTTCATATAGAGATCTCGTGATGTTCTTTAAAAAGGCAATATGCAAGGCACATAGGACATGGACTGCATTCCATTTCACTTTACTTTATTCAGACCAGTTGTAAATTCTGGCTGGTTGTTGTAGGTTATTGGTCTTCACATGGGACTAGTCTGCTGAGAACTACATAATCCTCAATCTGTTCCAGAATAACCCTTTCTGGTATAAGAACCAACACATTTTTTTGGGTGATTTGGAGATTTCTGCTAGGCATACACACTAAGGTTTCTAAATAAGTTGATTCCCTCATCCACACTAAACAGAATCCCCCCTGCCCCTATTCTGTTCAGACCACCGGCACCCTCGGCAGCTGTCTGAATACCCAAACAGTGACTGCATATGATTGGCTCTAGTCACTGCGTAGCAAACAATCTACCGCCCAGTGCCAACAAGGTTACCCACTGCTTACATTTTGAGCTACCTTAAGTATATCTGCAGTTGTTAAAGTGTATGCATGCAATTTTTTTTTTTCATTGAGAATAGAGTGGTGAGGGAATAGAACCCCTAATTTTTTTTATTGCTACCTGTGCCCCTATTAGGGAGATGATTCTTCTCTATCTTGGTGACCTCTATCAGGGAGGAAAAAAGTTACTGAAATCAAAATATTCAGTTGTCACCAAAACAGGAGATTTATTTATTACAAGTATTCATATAGTGCTGGCAATTTACGCAGTGCTTTACATAGTCCCTGCCCTCAAGGAGCTTACAATCTAAGGTCACTGTCTCACACGCATACATATGAGGACCAATTTAGAAGGAACCAATAACCTACCAGCATGTCTTTGGAGTGTGAGAGGAAACTGGAGTACCCGGAGGAAACCCACGCAACACAGGGAGAACATGCAAATTATGTGGAGATGGTGTCCTGACCAGGATTTGAACAAGGGACCCCCCAGTGCTGGACTTTGCCACCGTGATGATAAAGGGAAATCTTCCAATGGCCCCCTTGTTCCGGTGACATCTGTGTAAGACGGGGCTGGACAAATCCCAGGAAACAGGTAGGCAGTGCTTCTTAAAAAGTACAGCTGGCCCCTGACTTTTGAGGTTTTCTCTAGTTCTTGTCATCAATGGAGCTGGCTCCTAAAAATAAATCCTGCTGCCTCCTGAATTGGACAGACTGGCTCTTGAATTCCATTTTGATTTGTCCATCCCGGTCTAGGAGGAAATTGACCTAGGTTTTGATGAGATTTCCTCTCTTTTCCTTTTGTGTCTGGAATAGAAATCTCCTTAAAGCGTATCTAAACCCCCAAAAACCCAAATTTTAATAGATTGCCCTTTACCAGTCCTTATATGTGGCATCTGCATAAGTTGTCTTTTTTTTAGGCTTTTTCCCCCCTCCCTCTTTCTTTTCGCCTGGAAATGCTGAAAGTGACCCACTTCCTATCCCTGGGTGGGTACTCTCACTTACCATCTCTATGAAAGTAACCCTAGGCTTCTCTGATTTGTTACCTCTTTGAATCTCCATTATGTGGGGTGGACGGCAATTAGTAGTTTACAGAGGACCGCTAGGTAGGCACATAAAAATATTTGTGCTTTCCGTTCATCTCACAGGAAGTGACAAGCACACATCTGGCAAGATCAAAATGTTCTTATCCTGAAAAATTAAAACTAATGCGGCCACCACATCCAAGGACGTTTGTGCTTGGGTTTAGATATCCTTTTAATAATACGAAAAGTGGCAGAAAAACCTGAGGAGTTTTAACAGTTCACTACCAATTCAAATAAAAGCTTTTGGCTTTACATATCCATTAATTGGTTACTTTTAAGGATCTCCTCAGCTCTGCTGTAGAAATGTTGGTTCTGACTGGAGTTCTTCTTTTAAAGGCCCTCCTGTGCTTTCTGCTAGTGATGCGCCCAAGCTCGCAGCATGAAATACTTTAAATTCAGCAGGATGCACGAATCGTTTTAAAAGTAAACTGGCCTTTTTTGCCAACAGCAAGATTATGCAAACAAGCAGCAACAGGAAAATTTAAAAAAATATAGTTTGATATGTTTGTTTTTTAACAGAAAACATGCAAATCATGGGAGGGAAAGTATTTTTAGTTTTTATTAAAAGATGAGTAAAATGATCATGTAAAATCGATCACCCCAGCTGCTTCCTCCCTTGCAGCCGAAGATTAAATATAATCTAGTGCCTGTGATCTTGGCTGCCTGCAGCCACCACATTGTTTGCTCTCTGGCTCACAAAATCCCATTAGAGCCCTGTTGGGCACAGACGATGAGGGGAAGATGAGACCAGGCCATGATCTCAGAACATGCACCCAGTTCCGTTAAGGCTGGGTTCACACCTAGGCGTATTGAATATGCGCGTCTGTCGCGCGGATTTTTTACCACGATTCGCGGTAAAAAAGTCGCGCGACTCCAAAGGCTACTTGGCTGTATCCCAATGTAAAATTCCCTACAAAACGGCCCAAAGAAGTACATGTACTTGTTTGAGCGTAGGCCGTTTTGTAGGGCGTTTCAGACGGGCGGAAATACGGAAAGGTGTGAACCAGACCCATAGAAAACAATGGGATTTTCATGTTTGTACGTTTTGTTGAGCGTTCATAGAGCTTTGAACGCGCGACAAAACGTAAAGGTGTGAACGGGGCCTAACAGAAGCATTGAAGCTAGTAAACCCAGAACTGGCCCTGGCAGGTGGTATGGGGCATTACACATACAAGGTTATTTTTCTTTACAACTGCAGACA